ACTACGTCATCCTCTAGATGCAGCTGAAACACGAAAGTTTAAATACTGATCTTACGTTGTTAATATCGATAGAGAAAGGATACATATATGGACAATTTGGGGTGGATTGCCCATAATGCAGAAAATTAGGGAATATGTACTTTGTACCTTGATCCATCTACCTGAGTTAGATGTCTTATCTTAGTGAGGAAATGATTTGGATTTCATAAAATTTCTAACCATGGTTGTCAAATGAGAACGTTACAGTTCGAACACAACATTTATAAGTTACAAGCACGTTTAATGAGCACTTAAACGTTATATTACTTATAAACACGTTTAATGAATACTTAAAAAATTTTTACACATCTGTCCCTTAAAATATTCGCAGCTTATCGTTGAAAAAATTAAAAACCAGTTGTCAGGTTATTTAATTATCAGTTGCTCATTAGACGTGCCTAGTATACTCAACTCAAATGATGAATGCAAGCAAGGAAAGTTTCTGATATTCTGGGATTTTCGATGGGCTTATGTTGTGTCTAAGTTGTTAAGTTTGGGCCTCTTCTCTTTTGGATTTGACGACCTCCCTACGTGTCGGCCCCAGCTTAGAAATGAGGAAGTGATGAACATGTGATCGTGGGCCATGATCCATCCATGTCTCTGTAATTTGAAAGCCCTAAAAGCACATTTTTATGTTCAAGCATGATTCAATCAAACAACGTAACCTTCTGTCTGGTGATACATAGATTTGAAGTGTGACTGACATACGCCTTCAACTGAATTATATAATTAAATATATGAAAATTGTCTAAAACTCACTATGAGTTTACAGCATTTCTCTTAAACTAACTATAACTTTTTAAAATGTCTAAAACTCACCATGCGACTAATTTGACGTTAAACAGACTAACAGGTGTTAACATATTATCATTTTAACCTTCATAGAAAATATAAAATATATACAAAATAAATTAATGGGCGTTAATATGTTACTGTTTTAAAATTTAGACATGAAAAAATGGAAAAAATTCAAAAAAACATTTTCAAATAAAAAATGCATAAAAACATAGAAATTATAAAAAATTATAAAATTGCAAACAAAATAAAAATTTATTTTCAAATTATAGAAACTATAGAAATTGAAAAACAAAATCAGAAAATAAAAAATGTAGAAAAAACACCAAAAACTATAGAAAAACACAGAAATTGTAAATAAATAACAAAAATACAGGAAAATTTATAGATTGTAGAAAATAGAAAAATGTAAAAAAAAACAGAAATTATAAAAAACATTGGAAATTATAACAAAACACTAAAAATGCAAAAAATAAAAAATAAAACAAGAAAATTGAAAACTGAAAAAGACTAGTTTTCCTCTAACTCACCATTCAAGGATAATTTGGTCATAAAAATAGTTATTTATACTGACATGGACACATCTGTTAAGAAACATTAATGGTGTACTAACGTATATTTTGGAAAATAAAAATTTACTGACACGATGAGTTTTAAACATTTTGAAAAGTTGTGATGAGTTTAAGAAAATTGTTGAAAACTCATGGTGAGTTTTGTACAATTTCCCTTAAGTATTAATTTACGTAAAGCAGACAATCTTATTCTGTCCGCTATTAATCCCAGCTACTTCCTGCTTGTATTTATAAGGAAATAACCCACTACTAAAAAAAAGTAACATTTTATGCCATACCCATGATGATAGATCATGAGATGATTTGAATGGCTACAAGTATCCAAAATTATGGGGGTCGTCATCCAGGTTGTTATTGGGAGGCTACAGTATGTTGAGCATGTGTACCACGTTTGTTTCCCATTGGCTAATGACCATCGATGGGCTGGGCTTTTTTATTGTCATTATAGTCATTTCATTTATTTGTCATGGGCCTGCCTTCTCAAATTTCAATATATCAAAGACATGAGCTCCTATCTCCACTCATTAAAAAATAAAATAAAAAACAAGCAGACGATAAATACGAAGTCTATTGGAAATTCCAACAAAGTAGATTCTTTTAGGAGTGTTCAACCCTACAATCCAGAATATAATTGGGCTTGTGTCGGGTAGTTGGGTTGGCATCTGCAGCCGATATTATTCTATTTCTATTTCAATCTATTCCTGGTTCTAGTTGATAAGCAATTGATCTCTCGATTGTCTCCCACGTTCGATAGTATTATAACATAAACTATTCAACGTTTGCCGTTTTGGTTTGAATTGCCCCAATTAGCACATGCCCTAAATCCACTGACCTAAACTGATATTTCTCCAAACATTTACACAAGGGCTGGGCCTGGGCTAGCTCCTCTCCTTTTTGGTTGAGTATGGGCTTCTTGAATCGGATCATTTGGGCTTTTTCTGTCAAACTTTTATATCAAAGGTTTATTATATATTTGGTTTGATAGAAAATAAGTGATTCCTTAACAACAACATCGTAGCTAGCTACGTCTACTTTTGAGGGTAGAGAAGTGAGCTTCTTCATATTGAATGACAAATATATTTGAGCTGCATCTTCCGGGAAGGAATGTGGACGGATAGAATTAAAATCTAAAGTGGCAGATAAGATTGGTGGTCGCTCGGAAAGGTCCAAGGTGGTCACCCTGTCACTGTCTCCTAGTTGGGGGTGGCAATTAACCACCACACCATGCCTTCTCACATGCCTCATCTCGCCTTGTCCGGGACTCACTGCTCAGTGCCCATCCCCATCTTTGTCTGTTAAATCCCCACACCATGCATGCATATCCCTATTATTTTCCTTCCTTTTCCTATCATGCAACGGGAATGTATAAAATCAAGGGAGACCACAGGAATTAAAGTTCCAAATTTGGTTTCGTTAATCTGGAAGGTATATATATATATATATTTTTCGCCAGGTGGCAAATGGCTTTTGTTTGATCCTTTTCTTTATGTTGTCTTTCCTCCTATATATTAGTATCACTTTAGTATTGATGTGTATTGGTTTCTTTCTTTCTTTCTACTTAATGCTGCTGCAGGTTGCAACCATAAATTGGGTTGAATTGAAACGCCGATTGTTCAAGAAAACTAAAATAAAACAAAATCCAACTTTGTGTTTTCATCGACATGAGAGGATGACAATCCAGTGCTTGTGACTCCTAATGCTTGGAAATGATGTTAACTGAGTCTAACTAACATTCAACAGTATCATATACTAATTTTAATTGAGCATATGCATTACTTCAACTGTCGGCCCAAATTAAAGGAAATTAAAAAGGAGAGGGGCAAGCTAAGATTAATATTTCTTGTCAAGAAAGCAGGGAAGGGAAAAGGGAGAAGACAAGCTAAAATTCTTCTTGTCCTGCAAAAATTCAGCAATCTCACGCATGTTAGCTCTACCATAAACAATACACATGCGCTTAATAGAGTAGTTTTTATCTCATGTCCCTTCATTCTCGAATATTTCTACGACTTACTTCAGTTGTGATGTCTAAATGATTGTTTAGTAATGGGCGTCTCAAACTAAAACAATAAGGCAGAGAGGAGGAGGCAGAATGATTGAGATTCCTCTAGGGAAATCTGGCCATATATAATATAAGTTGAAGTTTGACCAGGGACAAAGAATATTTGAGAGATTGTAGTTCTTGACCCGATTAATTAATTATATATACCACGTAGAATTCGGGTTGGTTGTCTGGGTCGGTCGAATGTCGAGATCGTTGGATACTCCTTGGATTGGATGCGCTGAATAATGTTAATTAATTAAATATCGATTTGCTTGACCAACAAGAGGTGGAACTCGGAAGCTTCATGGGCTCATGGGCATGTTATGTTATGGTTGGGTGGGGTAGCAATTGAGCATGGCATCGCATCAATTATGAGTCCTTTCCATCCATCAAATCAATACTCAATTTACAACGGTGCCCGAAAGAAATGCCCAGCCCACTACTGAGATCTGAGATCCATGGGCTGGTCCTTCTCTCCAACCCTAAATCCCCAGATTATTAGAAACGGTCTTTTGACGAGTCTGGATCTGCTGCTCACAACGCTGTATCTAAAATTATAAAGGGATGCATAACCAATCACAATTGAACACGTTAGTGTTCCGTACATTTGAATGTGCGTCCTGCCGCCTGCGTATATAGACACTGGTGTGTTCTTCGTGTCTGGTCGAGTAGATTTTACACAAACCGATCCCAGGGAGGGTGCTTTTCGGGGGTAACTGGGTAAGTGGGAATTTTCACGTTAACCCTTGCTACGTGTCATCCTTTCTCATGAACAGCTCCGTAGGCAACTTGGCAAAGGCATGGCATCCGAAGCACCTGCCACGTACGCCTTTTTCTCTTAAATTGCAAAACTTCACAAAATGCCCCTGCTCTCTCATCAAAATCACAATCTCCTTGACGAAAGGTACACATTATGAACAGTTTTTGGTAAGTCGATCCTTCAGGTCCGATATTCACAAACGATAAGAAAGGGAAAGCAAACTGGCAAAGGAGATTACTTCGCAGAGAAGTTTATACAGAAGAACCTCTATCTAATCAAGAATCAACTTTCCCTATTCTGAGCCCTTGGATCCAATCACAACGAACGGTTCTCACGAATGTAGACAGAGACCCACCAAAAATGAAAAGAAGCACTATGCAACCCTATATGTATAAGCCCTCATCGATGAGTTGTACGTTTACCAGAGCCAAAGCCAAAATGCCAAATGATGGTTGATGGATGGATGGATGGATGGCGTCATTGCACCGTGAAAAGTGAAAAAAAACTGAACTAAAAAGCAGAAAATACGGAAGGAAGGGCAGAGGATGAGCAGTCCCGAGGTTGGTAATTTCAAACCTGAAACGTGAGCAAATATATCTGGCATGACTGATGTACTCTCTAATTACAACCTGTCATCAACAACTTACAGGTTGGCTAGCTGGCTCCCGCTCGATCTTCAAGAAAATAAAGCCCCCCGGGTAAACGACAAATCCTGACTTGACGACAAAATACTGACTACGAGAGATAATCTCCGCCCCTTTTTATCCTCCCCTCTATAAATACTCTCTACCCGCCTTCCTTGGCTTCCCGTTCCCGTTCCCGTCCCCCGCGTGGACTGAAAACACAACTCCGTCACCATTTTTATTATTCTTCACGTCTCGGGCGATACCTGCCTGGTAGCACTTAAAAAGAATCAAAAGCAGTGCAGTAGATCTAGATGGGCATCTGTAGCTCCTGCGAGTCCGGGTCCGCTTCCACTGCGAAGCTCATTCTCCAGGACGGACAGCTGCAGGAGTTCCCTTACCCGGTGAAAGTCTCCTACGTGCTGCAGATGAACCCGTCCTGTTTTATTTGCAACTCTGACGAAATGGGCTTCGACGACTTTGTATCGGCTATCAGTGCCGACGAGGAACTTCAACCCGGTCAGCTCTATTTTGCGCTGCCGTTGAGTAGATTAAAGTATCCCCTCCAGGCGGAGGAGATGGCCGCATTGGCTGTTAAGGCCAGTTCCGCTCTCATGAAGAGTGGGTATGGTAGTGGGGAGAAATGCCGGTGCCGCCGGAAAGGGGTGGTACCCATGTTATTTTCCGGCAAGACACAAGTAAAGAAATCACTGCAAGAGGCGGGTTCAGGCAGGGTTGGTATGGTGGAGAATAGAAGAGGAGGGAGGAATGGTGGAAGCTTCAAGTCCAAATTGAATGCCATTCCAGAGTAGTATAACTGACGACAGCTAGGATGTTCTTGGAATCATTAATAGAGCATAGGCAGGCCGCAGGCCCTGATCCCTGGAAATCTGTAAATATTTAAAAAAGAAAAAAAAAAGAAATTTTGGGGTTTTACATTTTCTTCTTCTGTTTTGTTTTTGTTAAAGAGGAAAGAAAGTAATGAGATGTGGCTGCCTGCTGCAATTTCAAGCACTCTCGCCTTATATGATTCATCAAAGCTTTTTTTTTTTTTTTTTCTCTCCTTTTTGGAACAAAACGGAACGAACACGAACAAAGCCATCCTATATATTGTATAAGAATGGTTGGTTTTGGAGAACGTCGAATTTGGGCTGACATGGGTTGAGTACGTGCAATTTATTCCAAAATTTGTTGTAACGCCAGAAAGAATCAAATGAAGTCACGATCTCCCCATGCATTATTAATAATAATATGAACTGTGAAGTTTGAACTCCGGGAATAAGACGATGGTTTTTTGTTGTGCGGATGTTGTTTTCTTCCATGATTTCCATCTCTTTTTCTCTTTACAAAAGGGAAAAAAAAAAGAAAAAAAGTGTGGTAGTAGTAGTAGCTGCGTAGGTACGTGGTTGGTGATGGGAAGTCGGAACGAGGGAGAGACGTTAGAGAGAGAGAGAGAGGGAAGGGAGAGACGACAATAAGGGGAAGGAGTGAAGTTGAGAAAAGGATGTGTGATTGGTGGATGGTTTCTCTCATATCATTATGCATAAATGATTGCTACGATGGGAATTCATTCAAGCAGGAAGGAAGCGTGCACACAGGGTTTCCGTCGGAAGGCTACTACAGCTGTCCAGGTTTAATCGAGACACTGATGCTGCCAAGTGGTGGGGCGTGGATGTGGGTGTTGTTATTACGTGGGACCCTGTCCTGATTTGATGATCCTCCTTCTCGAGATGATTTTCGTCTTCTTCCAAAGATTAGAATCCAACCAGTACATAGCGTGGCTTGATGGATGGGTGGATAGGTGCATGGACCACCCCGACTTAGACTAGACTAGAGAGTGGAGCAGAGAAAACAATTCAGGCTTTCGGCTGTAATATATAGTACTGCTGAACAGGGAGGAGAGAGAGAGAGAGAGAGAAAGGGACAGATCACACAGAAATTGCTTGGTCATCAAGTGACGAGTCCAGTAAATTAATAATGGATCGATTTCAAAATTTCAATAACTCAAACTCAAAACACTGGTAAACGAATGAAGCATTGTCGAGTTAATTTGTAGGGCAAAATTACATGGTGTGCTGTGTTGTTGCAGAGTCAGTCGACACTCTAACAACTAACATGGGTATCTCAACAGAATCAAGAGATTCCAGGGAAGCTTATTCTCATTTACTCGGCGGTGTTTGAAATTTTGAATATATACAAGTAGTCAAATGTATGAAATGGGACCTTTAGCTTTAATACAACCATTGGAGACTTGACTATTATTTTGAGTAACAAATTCTTTGTATTTCTCGACTAAATATGTTCTTTATCAAAGTCCACCGTTTGTTCGATTTATAAAACATTGGGTAAAATAATGATGCTCAAATCACCGACCTTTTCAGGTCGGCTTAATTAGATGAAAATGTACGGCTTCCAACTTCTAAGACTGTGTTTGGTTTGAAGAAAAATTAGAAAAGTAAAGGTTTTTCTATATTTTCCCCGAAACCAAATATATCCTAAAAGGTTTTATCCACATCCCTACACCCATCGCTTTCTCCAAATTCCGCTAATAACTGGAGTAGGTCAGAACCGGTGATTCTTCCTTCAATTTCACATGTCCTTTTCAAAACAACCTTTTTCCGATTCTATGGTTTCTGCTTTGCTTGACATGCATTCCATTAGGAATTGCTACGAAAGATTCAAAAAGACAACGCTGGCTTGGAGACTTAGACCGTATATAGGTTTTCCTACATGGGAGGGTTATGTTATGTGGGCTCCATTACGCATCGCTATCGTTCATCAAATCTGCAAATAGTTTTGTTGGTTGGTTGTTTTCAATCCAACTACACTGTATGTAGTCATGTAGTCATCTTCTGTTGCTTTCGGAAACCACAGATTGTCTAAAACGATAGAAATATGTGGTGATTATCACCTTATTACTAACAAACACCATCAAGGTCAAGGTGTGTGATTATTTTTCTCTTATTAAATATTGTTTATCTTTTTATCTTATTTGAACGGTCTTTTTCTTTTGTTTCTACAGGAAAAATTATTGATTGATGCACAGGTTGTGGCAAAGGTTTAGGCGTTAGACATTTGACAGTTCTTGGTGTCATCTATACTATTATAAAGTAGGTCATCTAGGGTTAGCTCGTTGATGTGTTAATTGATTTGTTCCAGCATTTACACAGAATTAAATCCTGCAACCAACATTTTTGGAAAAAAGGATAAAGAAGGATGGTACCAAATATCAAAAAGAATTACTTTTGATTTAAATACATACATAGCACATGATTTTACATTAATGATTTTAAAAATCTTTACCTTTTATTTAAAAATCTTTGTCTGGGTCGCTATTGCCACTTGGTGCAGTCGGCACTTGTCAGTCTAGTTTGCAAATTATGTGAATCGAATTTGTTACAATTTAGGTACATAATTCATAAAGGTTTAAGGTGAGTGGACCATGTCCCCAAATTAATAATTTTTTAATTGTTCCTTAAATTAAATTCATTCATCTTGTTGGGCTTCTAATTGAAGCTTATATCTGATTTGGTCCCTGGGATCTCTCATTGTGAAGTGGTGCACAATTTGATTATCGATTGAACTTTTCAACTTTCCCTAAAAAATGTGGAGTTTACATCTGCGCCCCATAGCACATCTCAACCGTGTATTAGGATTCTCAATACATGCTGAGATAGTGAGATGTGCATATAGAATAATTATGCCCTTAGAAATTATCAATTTTTACTGTTCAATCTATTCCAATAAATTTTAGTTCCACCCTACAGTTAAGATAAGATAGGTGCCAGTTCAGAATTAATGTCTGTTACAGCTGGAATTGTTTAAAATTTTGAATAGTGCATTGAATTCAAAATTTGAGATGAAGTGCAGTGTAGTTATCCCTTGAAATTATTTGAGGCCGTGCCCTGATGCAGCAATTACTTACCAATTACGAAAAAGGGAAAAAGTGTCAACATCCCCGGATGCCGGATGGTATTGTGTGCATATTCATACGTATCAGACTAGTTATTTCCAGCAGAGCAAGCAGTACAAATTTGGAAGGAGAGAAGAATTCAATGCATCAATGCGTCACGTATGTATGTGTGTACTTAAGCAGAAAGTACATCATGCACTCATGAATGGTAATTTGGTAAGGTTCCTTGTATATCAGCCATGAATGGATGATGTGTATACGGGTCATGGGCCTCATGACCAAATCGTTGTCGTGGATGGTCAAAAAGTAAAATTATCAAAATCAAAGGAAGTCCTTTCAGGTTTCACCCAATTATATGAAGAAGTTCACATGTTTTAATTGCGGTTGGTCCCCTCACAAGTCACAAGATATATATTACGTTTGCCAGCTTAAATCCACAACTACCTTTTCTCTGAGTTTTCGTTTCTTACGTTTTTTTTTTCAAGAAAAATAAAAAAATTTGTCAAATTAATAATATGAAACCTGATTTTCATTTTCTTTTTTGAATCTAACGCTCCCTCCTCTTTTTTTTTTTCATTGTCTTCATTCACTATCTTTTCTTTTCTTCCTAAATATAAGCATCTTCTCTCTCTCTAAAAGGCTGAACTTTTGCTCAAGTGCTTTATTTTTTTCTTTTTATGTATTGGCTTTTAACGACGAGTTTGGATTAATAATGAGAATCAGGTTTATGAAAACAAAAGAGATTTGTATCAACAAGGTTCATGATTCAGACTAACAACCAACTTGCTTTATGTTAAATATCAATAAGGTTCTATCTAATATTTGGTTGTATGTGAAAATATCTTAACCACTACAGTTGGTAATTTAGAGGTGCAGGGAACCATCTGGTGTATATAATGTACGATAGTTGATTATTGCAACTATAATTGATAACTTAAAATTACAAGTAGCCATCTGGCCTATGTAATGTCGGTTGGTTTCTAAGTCTGAAAAATATTATTTAGTCTCCTTTATACCAGATGGTTTGTACATTCGTGAGAATTATATATAATCTTGTGGTTTCTTGAGTTTTAGATGAATTTAAGGGAGAAAAAACTATTTCATCACCTGAGTGATAAATATGCATTTACAATCACAATTGCTAATTCTCATAAGGGTACAATCCATTCGGTATTGAACAGGCCAAATGGTGTTTTATAGACTTAAACATCATCTAGCATTAAACAAATCGGATGGTTTCTTATAATTTTGAATGATCAATTATAATTGCAACATCTATCACCTAGGTGATCTAGTGGTATTTATACCATCAAATGCATCTACAACCCAATAGACTGCATGGTTCAATATGATTCTCATAAGTATACAATCTATCGAGTATTGAACATGCCAAATGGTGTTTTATAGACTTAGACACCATCTGACATTAAACATAATGGATGGTTTCTTGTAATTTTGAATTATTAATTATAGTTACAACATCTATCACCCAAGTGATCTAGTAGTATTTACACCATTAAATACATATACATATAGAACCCAATTAGGGATGTCAATTGCTCAGGTCTGACTCAACGGACCCAAACCAATTGGGTTGGTTCTATTTCCGGGAACTTGAACCGATGGGTCGGTTCTGAGTCCTGATATAGGGTCCTGATTAATATCGGTTTGGAATTGGTTCCATCTAGTCCTAAACCAATTCAGAACCGACCCGATATATATAATGTATAATATATTAAATAAATAAATAAACTATATATATTATACATATACTAATATACTATATAATATGTATAGAATATTTAATATATATTAAACACAAATATTTATCTTTATTTATTATAATCGGGTTTGTCAAGGCAGACCCAAATGTCCTAAGAACTGATTGGTTCGGTTCTAGTTCCAACTAGCTTCGACCCAAACCCGACACGTTGATAGCCCAAAACTCAATAGATCGTATGGTTCTATATGATTCTCATAAGCATACAATCCATCCGATATTTAATAAACTGAATGTGTTTTAAAGACTTAAGACACTATCTGGCATTAAAGAGATCAAAGGGTTTCTTGTAATTTTGATTTATCAATTATAGTTGTAAACA